CACAACCTAACGGTATACGAACCTATTAAAGTTTTATAAAGATCTTTATGAATTCTATTGACAATTAACAACAAAGAAATAACACTCTTGTGCATGCTTCTATTCGAACTGAATTTATTATGAATACACGGCTATTGATCTAATTTTATGATTTGAAAGATAAAATATTTTAAAAAATAGTTCAATACTCCTATTAGATAATATGGTAATTAGATAATATTAGATAAAAAATGGTAATTATATTAGATAATATTAACATAACTAAAATACCATGTTTTTAGACTACATGACCTTCTATTAATTTTTTTAATATTTGATATTTAAAAATTAAATTTGTCTATTAACTTCTTATTAAAAATATGTAGGTAAGTTTAATAAAATTAATTTCATAAAAATCCACCATATTGACAGTACATTAACACTCCATAATATCCAATACTAAGAGAAATAAAAGTAATATTAAATGGACTGCATAAGCCGTTGAAATTGAGAAAAAATATCCCCATAGTATATTTTTATATTATATTAGAACTGTTTTCCTACTCAAATAATATATTTTTGATCAATTATTTAAAAATATACCCAATTATTAAACAACAACTAAGAAAATATTTAAAAATATAAATGTGTGAGAAATAGAAAGAAAAATGGTTGGTAAGAGGCAATACCACTAATGATTCTGCAAACGTAAAGATCAAAACGTGAAATATAAGATCGATCTTTTTACTTTTTAAAAAGAAAATTTATGGTGGATAAAATTATAATTAAGATTAAATTTTCAAAACATGAGATGAACTAAAAATAAGAATCTGAATCAACATATAATAAACTATTTTTTTTTGTAAAGGCCAAATAATTAAATCTTTTAATTAATTATTTAGCAAGAGAATGCAATTCAATTATTTTTAAAATTTATCATATGAGTAAAATTATTTTTCAAGTTAAAAAAAATCTTAAGGTACATACATTTATTCTATAGAAAGAGCGTTAGAGATTAAAAAAATTAGAAGACAAAGTAAAAAATATTATTATAGTATTAAGAATCAAACAACCATACAAGTGTATGTTGAAGCACAATCAAAGCTAAATCATGAACAAGAACAAGCTTTCAAGACTATATTATAAAGAGTCGGCTTTTATACGGGATTATCCTTTGTAGATGCCTCTGGCTGAATTGAAAATATTTCTATGTCATGCATTACTTGCACATGTCAAATCAAGAGGCATGATACTGTTAGCAATAATAACAAATGGTGTACCGACAATGATTTTATTATGACGCCACTCACTTTAGATGTGATATACCTTTTCAAACAACTGAAATAACCATCACAAATACGTCAAAGCAGAGCAACAATGCTAAATCTATAAGGAAAACAAAATTGATAATATGTGATGAAGCGCTTATGGCTAAGTGTTAAATGACGAAACAATTGCCCCTAGAGATATATTGAATACCAGTAAGCCATTTGGTAAAAAAACTAATGGCTTGGAAGGTGATTTCTATCATATACTATCAATAGTTACAAAATCGACGAAATCAAAGACTGTAAAAAATAGCTTTTTTAAAATTATATTTATGGCCTCAAATAAAAAAGATTTAACTGACAAGGATAATTTTCGGTATATTTATATTTTGCAATTATAATAAATAAAGCAAAAGGATAAACTTTCTAAATATTAGACTATATTTATCACAATATGTTTTCTTGCACGAACAGCTATATGTTGCACTTTCAAGAGGAACGAATATCAATACCAACAACAAGAGTTCTGGTTATGGCAGAGCAACCAAAATATTAGAAGGAAATATACACAAAAAACCATCAACAAAGAAATGTTTGCTAAGATACCATCAAATTAAATACTTTTAAACTATAATACGTAATTATCTAACTAACATGACTAAATTGATCATTTGTGTAAGTTCTGATGATGTCCTTTTATTTTGAATTCACATATCATGCTAATGTAATAATATTTTTCGGCTTTTAGATGATTAAAATGGTTAAACCATCACGTGCAATTATTAACGTGCAATGCACGTTCATAGATACTAGTATATTAAAATGGAAATATGAACTAGATGCAGAACTAATTTTCTGATGAAAATAAAAATTATATTGAAAAGCTTTTGTTTAAACATTATAAGCACAATCTTTGAACTGACTAATTAGACAAGGTATTTGAATTCTTAATTAGGATGCAAATATTAAATAAAGTAAATTTTATTAGATTTAGTGAAAAACTGTTCGACCTCCATAACTAACATTAATATTATTGTAATATATACTAAAACACATATTTAAAACTTTGACGGGGAAAAGAAAAAGGAAAAGAATTGGTACATTAAATTTCGTAAACAGTTATTGCTGATGCATACATAGCCATATCAGTAATAATTTTGTCCACTTATACATTGTTATTCTTGTTTTGGTTTAATTTATTGGAGTTGTCTTTTACTCCAACTAAAATCCAAATATCATTTGTATTCTATCCCAGGGAAACTTCTGATAGCCCCACGGACAAATGACACAAGCTTTGGAAGTTTGAAGCAACTTAAATTCATGACCTGTACGTGCATTAAAGTAGGAGTTGTTAAAATAAAGCTAAGTTTTATGCATTGTTGTTTATAAAATTAATTATATATATAAAAATTGTCAGTGTAATTAAAAATATTATAATATATTTGTTATCATTATAAAATTATCAATGAAATCGTGAAGATTTAAATGTAATTACCTTATAATTAGTAATATGATTATGTAAATATATTTTACATCGTCAATATTTTGAACTTAAACTAAAAATGAGTAATTAAACAAAATTTGGAAATTCGTCCAACTAACATCTATAATTCCTTGTTACGTGCATATTACATTTCTGTTTTATTGTTGTATCCAAACCAAATTCTCGCTCTTTCGTTCTGTCTTTCATTTGCAAGTTACATTACAATGTCCTAGTTGGCTAGCTTTATCTTAACTACAACTTTTCATTGTTTGCAAAAAATAAAATAAAAAATTGTTACTACGATTTAGTGATGAATAAAGTGGAATGAAAATTAAGGAAGACATCATTTGAATTATTTAAATTTTAGAGAGCAGATGACATTCGGTGCGAGTGCTTGATGAAATAGTTGAGGTGCTTAACAAATTGGCTAGAGCACCATAGTGTTATTCTTTTTTTTTTTTTTAAAGGGTGGTGAGGGGGGGGGGGGGGAGGAGAGGCGATCTTCTGCTATATAGTACTATGTTAAAGTTATACCTTATACGTAAGTATCAAATGGGGCATATATAGCTCACATTATTAGGAGCTTATTAGTGTCAAATGATTTATTATTTGGTTTCAACAACTTATGATATGAAACAAGTAAACAAGAAAAACATGAGCGTTGACAATAACAAGTAGGAAAAATAAATCAGTTTAATGATATATAGAGAAGGGGGTGGAAATTGATACAGAAAGAATCAAATTGGCTATGGCAACCCATTCATTGAGCTGTAATGATGGGGCGCATGTGGGTAGGATTCAGAGATTTAGATGCTCAAAACCTTCGATATTTTCTTCTCTTTCTAAGATAAAACAAGAAATATTAAATAAAAAAATAAAAATATATATATATATATATATATATATATATATATAGAGAGAGAGAGAGAGAGAAGGAAGAATAATGGGAGTGAGAGATAAGATGTGAAAAGACAAAGTCATAGGAACAAGTTGCTGAACTTCTGTTATCTTCACTTAGCTTCTGAGTTCTGACTCCTAACCATTTTGTTTGCCTGCCAATATCTTTCTTTTCTGCCTCCTGAACTATTCCACTACTCACTTCTTTATCCCACGTACAAAAACATTACAAATTTCCCAAGATTTATTACAGTAATATTCTTTCTAATTGTTTGCGAGTTCATAACTTCAAATATTAGGGTGTAAATTTTATGTACTAAAGTTGTAAATAATATTTACACAATCAAATCACTTACTAGATTACTATTCTTGATCTACATGATTTGATAACATGGTAAAATGGCAAGTAACATACCATCACAAGCTACAATTCACTGATAATATAATATAATCTTCACACAAACCATAATATAACATAAATTCTTTCTATTAATTGTTTCATTGAATAATTCCAAATATTTAGATGGTTATATACATATACAGAGGCGAATCCAGAATTTAAATCCTATGAGTTCAACTTTTAAAGATTTTAACATTGACCCCATTATTTGCGTCACAAGTTACCCTTCTGCCCAATCAACTGCTCCAAACTCCAACAGGGAAAAAGTAACTCCTTTTTTTCCCATTTTTTGCGGTGGATTTTGTTTGCTTTTTTGAAATTACTTTTACTCTTTGCCAACGAAGAAAAGAGAAAGTACCTTTTTTTTCATCTCTTTTTTTCCCAACAAGTACCTTTACATCTGCCATAGTAATTAAAAGTGTATGATTGACCCCGCGGTAAAAGGGAGACTATAAAGTAAAAATTCACAGTAACACAAAAACGTTATGATTAAAGCTGTGATTAGTGGGAGTCTTTTCACAAGAGATAAAAAAAATTTCAAAGCCAAAAGTTGCTTAAAAGTACCTCATTTTTTACAGCACGCATGGAACAACAAACAGAGCAAATAAGCAAACCAAAAAGAAGGTGGTCAGAGCTTTTCTCAATTCCTAAAACGTTTAATACTTTAATTAATTGAGAAAAAACAACATTCAACTGACTGAATAAATAAAAAATAAGGGCAGTCTGGTGCACTAAGCTCTCGCTATGCACGGGGTGCGAGAAGGGCCGGACCACAAGGGTCTATTGTACGTAACATTATCCTGTATTTCTGCAAGAGGCTGTTTCTATGGCTCGACTCGTGACCTCCTGGTCACATGACACCATCTTTATCAGTTACATTAAGGCTACCCTTAAACTGACTGAATAAATAAACAAATATAAATTCAAACCGCATCTCAAAAATCTCATGCTCCCCATCTGCAAAACTTATACTCTTACAGCCCCACCAAAACTGACCAAAAACCCTTATCTTCTCTTAAAAAAACATTACTTCTCCTGTCAACTGTTTGAACTTATGTACATATTTTATTTCTACAAGTACTACCAATATTATTTCCCAATTATTTAATTCAAACTAATACAAAACCTTTTTCTTCCTCTAGATATATATATGATTAGCTAATGTCTTCCTACCAACATATTGAAAAAGGAGTCAAGAATTTTGGCCTTCCAATATTGCTGCCTAAGCTAAATTAAAACTAACTCTTCTTTCACACAACAGATTGCAGTTTTCTGTTATATGGTAAATATGTCATCTTCTGCTTCTTCTTTTTTTTCTTTTTCCCTTTGCTAGTTTTTCATTTCTGCAAGTTTTTGATCAGTTCCGAGATTCTAATGGCTTCTCTTTTTATACAACTTGACAAATTGTATATATATAGCTAGTAGCTAAAACTGACGTTAGCAATATCTATTTTTGTATATTATCTCAGATTATATGAATCAAGAATATGGTTGTTAGAACCTGTACTTCTGCGTTTTACTAAAATTAAGCTGTGATTCTAAATACAGAAACCCTTCAAGATTTCATTAGTTTTTCACACAAGGCCAACATTTTCGCCTGCAGGCTGCAGCTAATTTAATTGTAAGTTTTTTTTTTCTTTTTATAATTTCATTCGTTTAGATCATAAAGCTTATCTCACTTTCATGCAGCGGCTAATCCAATATTTAAATTTGATGGGTTCAACATTTTCGTTATTAACACTGAATCCATTGCATCTGCAACTATAATGATGGGTTAAAAAAACTAAGTATATTGATTAATTTTAGCATTTTTTTTCACAAACACACACATTTTTGTTCCGTTTAAATAAAGTACTAGGTTCAGTTGAAAAGTTAATTAATTATAAGCGACTTGCATTTTTTCAGGTATTGAAGATCTAGTGGTCTTACTGTTGCAAAAATAGTATCAATGGAGAGTTTGAATTGGGATGAAAGTCCAGTTTTTCAGGAGTTTGGAGCTTCATTTGATCCAATACACGTAATTTCTAATTGGAACATGCCACAGCGTCAAGAAGCTGCTGTAAGATTAGCTGCTGATTCTATGGCTGCTAAATCAGCAGCAGATCTAAGCCGAGATTGTGTTGAAAATGGATTTTCTTCTTCCCCTATACTAAATATGCCTAATTACATCAGTGATAGTAATCCAATGGCATTAAATGGCCTAATGGCGAATTTCAGCTCTAATGGCCAAGTCCAGGAGATTAAGCCAGCACCTAAACTACTCTCAAACACATGCTCTCTGGAATCCCTTGATTGCTTACTCTCAGCAACCACCACCACCAACAACACCGACACGTCAATCGAAGATGATGGAATGTCCATGATTTTTGCTGATAATTCGAAAAGCTTGTGGAATTTCAACTCTTCTGGAGAGTCTGCAATACACAATGCCTCGTCTGAAGCTCTGAAGCAGTCGCCAGGTTATCAACAGCTTTTGACCTGTCCGTCTGGACATGAAATACTTCAAGAAGAAGAAAGAAAACGAAAACCATACAAGCCCATTAAAGCTAATGAGCTCGATGAGACGGTGTCAGAATCATCTCCGAATCATAAGTATAACAAGAGAAGCCACAAGCAAGCTCTTGAGAATTCTCCGAGTCAGTTCAATCTATTCGAGTCAGATTCGTTAAATGGAGATTATGGTAATTTTCAGGTCATTTCAGAAAAGCAAGCCAAATCCAAGAAGCCGAGATTAATAACAGAAAGTTACAATAAGCCACGTCCAAGTTCATCGAACATTAATTTTCAACAAGCTAGCTCATCGGTATCTTCAATAGATCAAGAGCCTGATCCAGAGGCAATTGCTCAAATGAAAGAAATGATATACCGGGCTGCTGCATTCAGGCCCGTGAACTTCGGGCCTGAAGCACCGGAGAAGCCCAAACGGAAGAACGTGAGAATATCAACGGATCCACAGACCGTCGCGGCGAGGCAACGGAGAGAAAGGATAAGCGAAAGAATTAGGGTTTTGCAGAGGCTAGTTCCAGGAGGAAGCAAAATGGATACAGCATCAATGCTTGATGAAGCAGCAAATTATTTGAAATTTTTGAGGTCACAGGTTAAAGCTTTAGAAGCCATAGGCCAAAAACAAGATCCTTTCTCTTCAATACCATTCAACTATCCATTTCCCATGCAATTACCACATTTTCCTCTCCAAAACCCTAATCCAATTCATGGTCCCAAAACTTGACATGTTTTTTTTTATTTTACTGACGGAACAAACTATTAAAATGGAAAGGAGAATAAATTACTAATCTGTAGTGTAAAAACCTTTTTAGTTTCTTGTTATTCCCTTTGTTTTTGTCGTTATTACTCTGCTGACGGAGGTTAATTTTTTGTTCCTCCCCTCAGTCTATCAGATGGGACTTAGAATTAATTCTGCTTATATGTTGGAGTTGATATTTTTATGTCTTTGCATGGAACAAATAAGGGCTTGTTCAATTGGTATGATAATTTCCCACATGTAACTCTTAAAAATAAAAAATTCGACTACATCTTTTTGTTAGGATATATCACTAGAGAAAAAAGCCTTTAATCGGTGAATTTGTGAGGGGGAAAACCATGTATTACGTCTACCAATTTAAAAGGATTTAATTTAAGTTACTATAGAAAATAACAGTGAATCTTTTTACACTATATGAGTGAATTTAACCATGATAACTATTATTCACTATTTTTACTGGGTTATAGATCAAGTAATGTTTATTACAAAAATTTACCTATAATTACCTTGTATAAATATATTTACACCATCAAAGGATACAGTAATATTTTATGCCGTTAATGCATGTTAAATATATTTTTAAAAAGAGAATTTATATACAGTCGGACTCATCATTATTTCATCATGATATAACTCTGAGTCATCTTTACTGCCTAAATTAAAGATCCTTGATCCTTATCATCATGCACTCATTATTACATACTTTAAAGCTTCTGTAATTGGTAGTAACTCCCTTAATTATGAGCATCATAATGAAATCCACCATTATACAAAAAGTGTTGGACCGGTCCACGAATTAAAAATAAAGGCCATAATTAAGTAATAATAAGGGCTATGATTAAGATCGAGAGCTTAAAAAGTGATTACCACTTTATACCTGCACGTTTAATTGTATTTAATTTCGAGTTTTGTACTTGAGACTTCACTTTTCTTAGAGATCTTAGAAAAGAGAGGACCTTAATTATTTTAATGTAAAAGCAGTCAGCAAAACAACGCACAAAAGGGACATCCTCATAGTACTTGTGAATCTTAGTCAGTGGTCCTGTCTCCTTGATTCAATCCAAAGCGTGCCTCTTGGTTTTCACTCCTAACCCTTATTGCTAACCACGTTTATTCTTCCTTTTTGGCAGTTGGTTATTATTATAATCCTGACTCCTGAGAATGATTTATGCAAAAGAGGAGCATTGAAAAAATGCAAACCAGGGTGTGGCCTTTCTAAATTACGCATTCAATAGTATTTCCTAGCCGTCAATAAAGTGGGTAATAATCAAGATTTAAACTCCATCAAATAACAAAAAGGTGATTTTTCTCATCTATATAATCCTTGGTAGAGGTAGCGGATGGTGAAGAAAGATTCAAGGTTTGAAATTGATGATGGATTCAATAATTATGTTTTTACTACTAAATCCATTGTATTTTTTTATTGGCTCAGAGTTTAATACTTGTAAATTTGTAGTGATCTTCACATATATATTTATACTTCCTGAAAAGGATATCGGATTAATTTAAACCCATTGAACTGCATTGCGTTGTAGCCACATGCATTGAAGGGTGGTCAATCGAACATCCTTCATGTTTCACCAAAGAAATAATATTTTGGATAAAACTAGAATTTGAGATGAAAAATCGGGTTACTGATAATCAAGAGACCAAAATAATAATAGACTTTCTGAGAATAATAATAAAGCAGTAAACAAATTTTTTTATTTCAGTATGATGTAAATGATGTCCTTTTCCCAATACAACTTCCTCCTTTTATAGTTGATTCTAGGTAAAGGAATAAAACCTAAGCTTTAATGAGACAATTATGGACAATAAATGACATTAAATGAGCCGTTACACAATCATTCCTATTAAATACCAATTTTCTAACGTATCAGGTATTTAATATTGAATTTGGACTCCTTTTTGTCTTCAGATTCATGTCTTCAATGCCTTTCGACCCACTGGCCTTAAATGACTTCGAATTGGTACGAGACTCGTGTCTAAACTGCTTCTCGTACCTATTTCACTTCTTCTTCCCGTACCTGTCGTTTCCCGTACCTTTTTCCCAATTGTTACGCTTTGACCACTTGTCCAGTCCACGTGTCACGCCACGTCATCTTCAATATAAATTCAACTTTTTTCCCAATACAGATAGTCCCCCCACTTTCCATTTATTTATCAATTAAATAATTGGGAAGTGGACCTTCGTAAAAAAGGAATTTTTGCCATAATCAATGCGTATGACAATATTGTCGTCTCAATTGTCTTTTCCATTTAATGTTTTATCCATGCGTCACCTTTTGATTGATTCTGCCATTTTGCACCCTTTTTCAAAGCTTCGTTAATCCCACTATTCACGAAGTGATAGTTGCCTTTATTATAGACTTTCCATCATTACTCTTCTAAGTTTGACGGTTGCCATCATATACATACTTAACCTTTTCTTCCTTTGTCCTCTTCTCCATAAATCTTTAGCAAACGTTTTTCTTCCTTACTTTTGCTCTCCTTCGATTCATCTTTGTTCAACAATGGCGTCTCCATACCCTAACCCTAAAAGAGTTCCGATTTTAGACAAATTCCCCAATGCTCCTGTTAGACATAGAAGAGACAGAGGAGGCAGACTTCGTACAGGATTAGAATCTACTCGAGGCGGCTCTTCTGGTTCTTCTTCTAGGAGTTCTATTCTGAAAACTCCTTCTTCTAAAGGTAAAGAAATTCCTGATTCTTCTAGAGAACCTTTAGTTGATGAAATCGTACCAAATGATTTATCTTTTGTAAGTGATAGACAATCTCTTCAAAAGCAAGTTGCTGGTTTAGAAAAAACTGATACTTATCCTACATTAGTGACCGAACTTACAATCCCTACCATCAGAGGAGATTGTAACTGGAAAAATAGTCTTCGAATGTCAATTCCTTCCATAAATCAAAGAATTTCTTCTTTTAGGATTGGGTACTCTTTTGTTTATACTTACCCTTTTACTTTGGGTTTTAATCCCCCAATTGACCCAATCATCCTCGATTTTTGTCGTTTCTTTAATATTTGTTTGGCCCAAGTTGGTCCTTTAGTATGGAGAGCAGTGGCTTGTTTGAGATATCTTTCTACCAAAGCCACTGTTGATTTCACCTTTTCTCACCTTATCCATTTATACCATCCTAATTTAATACGTCATGGAGTTTTTACCTTAACTGCGAGAAGCAAGAAGGTTTTGGTAAGCACAGAAGATGACAATGACCGTGGATGGTATGCCAGTTACGTTGCTGTGCGTACGGTGGATTTACTTGGTGAAACAAATATTCCCTTCCCTGAGAAGTGGAATTTTGCACGTAAGTTCTTTTTTTTTTAAAACCGTACCTGTTTTTGAGAATTTCGATTCTTTTTCTGACTTCGTCTCTTTTTGGTTTTTTGTAGCAACCATGGGAGATGTGGAACCTGTTCCCAACTTTCGTGGTTGGGTAGATTCAATTTTGAAGATTGCTCCTAAGGAACAAAGAACTTGGAAATCAATCTCTGCTTTACATGGCTGGAAAGTTAAAACGCATGGTATCGTTTTTTTTACACACTTTTCTTTTTGCACATTAAGTATTTTTTCCTTATTGTTGATTGTGTATCCTTCTTTTAATCAGGATTTGGTAACAAAGGAATGACAGCTGATGTTGCTAAGGCCATCCGCATGTCTGGTAATGCTGCACTTGACTTGGACAAGGCTCGAACCTTACTTCAAAAAAAGGAAAACTCTAGGAGAAGGTTCCAAGAATGAAGATGAGGAAGGTACCTTGTTAATAGCTAGGCCACGAATTAGGAGACGAGTCATTAACGATGATGAGATTGAAGATACTCCTGCTCAAACTTTGACCACCGAGCCTGTTTTGATTCCTTCAGACGAGGATACCGTGCCAAGAGACACAAATGAATCAACTCAGCATCTCTTTACTAGTGGTTTTGAGAGTGACGGACTCGGACCTGTTTTTGATGAAGTTCCTCTTTCTTCATTCGCACCTACCTCATCCATTCCTTTGCCAACTGTATGTGTTTCCTTGTCAGCATTGACCACTTCTGCTCTTTCATCAGTCTTGTCTATTCCTACTTCCATTCCTATGCTTACTTCTACCATTCCTGCTTCAACTCCCACGACTCCTGCGGTGTTTACCTTTTCTACTACTCCCCCTTCCGCTGTTCCATCTTCATCTGTCCCACATGTAGAAGTAAGTTCTAACAATAGAAGCATGACTATGAGAAGTGTCACACTCGAAATCCCTGCTAATCAAAGCCTCTTAAGAAAATCTGGGAGAGCTGATACTTGGCTCGAACCTCTTATTGGAGAAATCGAAAAGAATAAGATGCAAAGCCATAGTTGTTACACTTTGATGAATGACATAGTTCATTCAACTTTGAAGGTAATTTTCTTAACCTTAAATGCTTTCCTTCTTTTTCTTTCTAAGTTCTCACTTCTATGCTTTATAACCGTAGGCTAATCTTATTGGGACTGAGCTGATGGGACGAGTCTCTACATTGGAGAAAAAGGAGCGAGAGTCTACAAAGGCTCTATCTGAAGCTAGGAAAATAGCTGAGGATGCCTTATTTGAGGCAGCAAACTGGAAAGAACAATTTGAGAGTGCCCAAGTGACTGTAGAGGAGTTGCAGGAGAGCAAGGCTCACTTGGAGCAACAAAATCGTGGCTTAACTTCTGAGTTGGGAATTGTGAATGCTTCTTGGGGTCAGATTAAAAGGGATAAAGAACTTCTGGAATGCTCTCTATCTAAAGCCAATGATGAGATTAAAGAACTTAAGGCACTCATGGAGAAGAAAGAAGAATACGCAAGGGAGTTAGCTCAAAACTTAACTCATGCTCAAAATGACTTAAGGATTTCTTCTGACAAAATTCGTGCCTTGGAAAGTTCCCATGCCTCTCTTGAAGCTTCCTTAGATTCTCACTTAGCCGAGCACCAAATAATGAAAAATGACCTTGCTATGTGGGAAGAGGAATATAAGGCTTTGGAGAAGGAATATAATGCTCTTGAAGAAAATTTCAACATAGACGTGAGTTGGGCTTTTCTAAATTCTCGACGTGATGCTTTGATGGAGGCTACACAAGAAAACTTTGACTTGCAATCTGAGTTGGCCAAAGTCATAGACACTATCGAAAAAGGTCAACAACCTGCTGATACTCCTTCTCC